CCCTACCTTATTTTATTGGCCTTGATTGAATCTTGTGACCATGACTGAGAAGACCCACTCTACCGTATTTTATTGGAGTTGATTGAATCTTGTGACCACAAGATGCCATCTTGAGGTCAAGGTTCTGACTGGGAATGGGTTGACTTCTGTTAAAGGATTTCTGTCTGTCAGTTTCTGTTTCAGAAATTAGAAGCCAATTTGATGTCTTCATTGGAGCGATTGACTGGGACCACACCTTCTTACAGGAACCCTTAGTGCTAATCTTCCTCTTGTAAGCAAAGTTGATTTCAAGAAATCGCTGGCAACAATTATACTGTTATAAAATGTTTATGAATGATTGGATGAAAAGACCAATTATTTGTAAACTTTAACTCAATTTTTTTAGAAAATCGCTGACAGCCTATAAAATAACAGGGTTGATTCTGTAAAAATGCAAAAAAAAAAAAAACAAAACCCCGCTCCTACCCTAGAGTAATGAAAAGAATAATCTCAATAGAGATTATCCAACTGGCTCAGTGATGAGAATCTTTGTCTTCAATTCATATTGAATACTACAATTCATATTGAAGACTACAGTCCTTCACCTTCTGCAGCAAGTGCTTCAGGTCCTTCTCAGTTTCAACCAGCAAGGTTGTGTTGACTGCATGATGATGTAGGTTGTTGATTAGTCTTCCTCCAATTCTGATGCCACACTCAGAATATTCCGTTTTAAAAAAAAAAACAAGGAATAGTGCAATTTGCAATTAAATTGGAGTATTAAAGCAGGCAAGAGGACTGAGGAATCTTCTACACTAAAGTTTCCTTTTTTAACCATGTTACAGAAAAGATCTCCAATGAGTATTTTATATAAAACCACATACACAACTCTTGCAGAACTAAAATCATCTAAATACCACCAAATTCTCCTGCCTTCGTGGTACTGCAAGATAAAGATCATTTCAGGACACAATGCCCTGTAACTTTAGTCCCCCAAAACACACGGCAATTGCCTGAACCTTATTAACTTTTAAGTTCAATGAGTTGGTGATAAAGAATTGTCAGTTCAAACAAATAAATCTCTCTTAGTGATGTCTCTCTTCAGTAGACTGTGTCTAAGAGAGAAAATATGATCGTGAAATCATAATGCAAATAATTGCTTTGTTCTTCTCATTATCCTTAGTTGCTATCCAGTCAGCTCTGATGGCAGATTTAATTTTAACTCCCCAACATATGTATTGTAAATCCTAAACCTCTATGCCTGGAGTTTTAATCCCATTTGGGAATAGGTTGTTTTTGTTATATTAATGAGTGAGGATTACTGTGCATTTAGAATAAAAATCTCTCTCTCTCACTCTCTCTCCACTCTCCTTCTTTCCTTCCCTCTCCCTGTCATTGTCTTTCTCTCTTCTTTTGTAGATGTGTATGTTTGTGTGTATGGTTTGGGTGAAAGCAAATTAATTTTTTCATTCAATTCATCCACATTTTATTCCATGACTTTGACTGCACTCTCCATAATGTAACAAATTTCCCCTCCTCCCTGAACTTACTATTTCCATTTGTCCTTCTTTCCTATTCCTTCTTACCATTTAAACCTGATCCCTGATCCTTTATATGGAAGATTGTTCTAAGGAATGAATAACTCCATAATATTATTGTTACCTTAAAGACCTATTTGACTATCCACTATTTGGCTGAAAAGTAAAAAGTGGGGGTGAATTCACTTCTAGGCTTGAAGGGTGTCTAAGTGCCCTGTGGTCTTGGAGCTTCCATGAATCTCTAAAAAGTAAGGTTTTTTAAAATTAATTAATTAATTAAT